ACGCATGCGAGTTTGATGTCCAACGTTGACCTCGCTTGCTCTTACTCGATTTTGATCCAAAATTTTAGCTTTATACTAATAAAAAATACCAAAACATAAAATTTATAATCAAGTATATCTTATTCATGTAGTTAATCATAATTAACCAACCATACAACTAAAGATTCAATGGAGGCTTCGTTACTAATTAAAGGATCATGCATCATGTAGAGGTATGGAATAAATAAATACATAATTCCTCCGATAGCGTAGATCTAAATTTATTTTCTTTGATTAGTCGTCTAAGTGTCCGACCTCTATTGATGATTGACGCAGCCCAAATATCCACAAAGAAGCACTCAAAATTGATGGGGTGCTAGTTTCACCTTTTCCGACTAAGTATTTTATCTAGAAATCAATCCCGAAAAGCTTTACGACAACTTTAAAGGAGAGGGTATGAGAATTTCTTGCTAGGGTTTTAGGAGAAAACTATTTTCTCCCATTTTTCTCTCTTAGCCGTGCGCCCTTTTTTTGTGTGGAGGATGGCCGAATTTTTTTCCTACCTTTTTTCTTCTTTTTGGCCAAAATTCTCTATTATTATCTCTCTCTTCTTTTGTCACCCCTCTCCTCCTATTTATAGGGAGAGATTTTGCTTGTCCTCTAAGGATAAGGAAAATGGCAACCTTGAGTCCATCAATGACTATAAGTTATTGCTTCCTTATCCTCCAAGGATGAAGAGTTATTTTATATTTGAACTACTTGATGTTTATCTTTAAAACATTTATCGTTATCCAATAACCTTGATATTTATCCTCCCACCAAAATTATCTTAAGGCTTTTAATTGAACCTAATGGGCCAAAACTATTTTAGCCCAATTAATTTATCTAGACTATTCAAATAAATATTCTTAGATTATTTTGGCAAGATCCATATTAGGAAACAATTTCCTAAAATACTCTTTAACCTAAATTAGGAAACTTCTTTCCTTTTAGGTTCTTTATTTTCAAATTTGAAACTAACTTCCAAATTAGGAAACTGATTTCTAAAATAGAAAACTTTCATTTTAGGAAACTTTCCATTTTCCAAACTCTTTCCAAAATAGGAAACTTTTATAACTGAAAACTTTTTTCAATATATTTGCTTCTCATTTGCAATGTGAATACTTGAACTTATGCTTGTGACTCAATAGACTCCTAGATATATTGGCAATGTATCAAGAATAAAAGACTCCTTTTTCATCTCTTGATACATAAATCAAGATTGGCCTCTAGCAAGGCATCATGACTACCCAATTCTTTAGGAGGATTAGTGAATCCATTATTACCTTTCACGAGCATGGTTACCATACAATTCAGATCCTCATGTCGACTTATCATAGTGTGATCTCAAACTTGGTTATTAGTCTTGTTTGATTATGATCACACAAGTTTTCCGTGATTCCCAAATGTGTTAGCTTTTAGAGTGTAGTGTGAAAACTCCTTTAGCATATAAGGAATGACATGTCCTATCTTATCCATACAGCCTATCTCCATTGGATTCCTAGTGCACCTAATGAATCGTCCACGTGCAACCTATTAATGGGTCCATCAAAACGAGTGTCAAAGTGCATAAGTCCTCCAATGAGATAATCATGATGACTTTAAGTCTAAGGACCATTTGTACCCATCTCTTATAAGATTCCTATAGTCTAAAACCATATGGGTTCTCATGCTAGTCAAGTCGAGTGCTATGTTCTCTAACATAAATCACCTAAGTACTTGCTTTGGCATCACCATGCCAATAGGTGTGAGATCTCCTATTGCTATCATATAGTATGAGCATAGCACTCACAAGTCTATTTGTATATTATCAATGTCCATTCTTGACGATGCTATGACATGGGACATTTAATGATATCATTCATGTGAATTAGTATTTGTTTCACATCTTTCGATCAATCACTATTGCAAATATATATCATAAGGACTTCTATCTAATTCTACTAAATTTATCAACATGTAAACATAAGAATTAAAAGAATGACTTCTTTATTATTATTAAAATAAATGATGCAAGTAACATATTAATATAAGCTCATCCAAACATGGTTGGATCTTGGGCACCAACACTAACAATAGTTTGCTAGAGAAAATTCACACCCATATGGATAATAAGCTTGTGCAAAGATAAGAGACAAAGAAAAGAGCACGAGCAAAAAAAGCAATGCACGATTTATACACTAAATTAAGCATAGACGAGTGTCTCAAGCTTCGTTTCCATCTTTCCCACCACCTCCTCTTTTACTACTATAATTCCATATTTTCTCCCTTAAACTTTCCCTAATAATTTTATATGCCTTTGGTCAAGTCTATATTGAACATCGAAGATAATATCTAATTTAAATGTGCGGGTGCATTTAGCATTTAGGTTTTTTTTTAATTATGTTTGTTGATGAATTTGGTATGTTCATTTTTAGGTTATTCCCCTATATAAATATAAAATTGAAAACTAAAAAAGATGAAACGAATGCCATGGTTTAGCATGATGTTCTTCCTAAATGATGTTTGTTGATGAGTTTGATGAAATTTGATGAGATAATTGAAATTGTTTGAGATATTATTATTATAGAAGTGCATGCATGCTAGAAAGCCTTATGTGTTTTTATGATTGATTATGATTTAGGTAGTAATGCTGACTTTGCAAATACCATTTAGAAACTAGACTTTACATGGTTTAAATAAACGGGTTTTCTAATTTTTATGGAAATTTGATTAAAAAAATGAAAAGCATTAAAATAGAAAAATTTGGCATAATTAAGTAAAAAATTCTACTCTACTAATTTTAGTTGCTTAGTAACTAGGATTATTCATGATAAATGTTTACTTTTACGTTAAATAGTAATTTGAATTATCAGTATGCAAAGCACCTTAAGTTGATGACTTGCTAAGTAACTAGATACCTTCATTACAAATGTCTATAATCATGTAAAAAGGTAAGTGATCACTACCGAAAAATCTATTAAAGGCCTTAAAAAAGATAAGGATGCCTAAAAAGGAAAAGTTTTTTATTAAAGAAAATCTCAATTTATTGTTTTTCTTGTAGTAGTGAAAATAGAAAAAAGTAAAAATTGGTGTTGCATGCTTGAATTGTTTTTGGTTATAAAGATGCATATATTAATTTAGAAACATGCATTGATATGATAACAATGTTTTGAACATAATCAATTTGACTATTAGATTTTTTTAATTCTAAATTAAGGATCAATCTTTGAAGAATAATCATACTAGTATGACACTCATTTGAAGATTATATCGGTTTATTGTCTAAAAATTCTCACGACACATAACTCATCCACCGAGGGTAGCATCGGATTTAAAAGGTTTGTTTCATATGCTAAATCTAACCATGATTCCTACAAAAGTGAGTTAGGTTTTTTTTTTTTTTTTTTTTTTTTTTTTTTGCTTATGGACTAACAAAGTTTAAGTGTGGGGTATTTAATGTGTGCATAATTAATATGATTTTTATGCTCTATTATATTTAAGTTTTTAGTGTTTTTTTATATTATATTAGGTTAATTAAGACCAAGATAACAATTTTGAGTTTTATAGAAAAAAAAATGAATCGGAGTAAGAAAAATCAAAACCAAAGGAAGGAGAAGGAAAATCACCAAGGGGGTTTAAAAAGAGTTACATGGCCATGCCATTTACAAAGAAAAATAGCTATTGGCTATGTGACACACCGAAGAAACCATATGGATTACTTAGCAACAAAGGCCACAAGGATAGTAACTTTTCACACGAGCTTAGGCAAAGAATCTAACTCGCCCATATGAGTGTCAAACTGAATTATCTTCTAAGAGAAAAGAAGAAGCATAAGAGCAATAGGCATTCCACAATGAATGTATTGAAAAGAGACATGCTCATGTCTCAAAAAGCCGAAGAGGTCTACATGGGCATAAGGAAGTAACACAAAATGAAGAAAAAGGCATACGGCCATTCCGCCTCTAGCCGCAAACCGTGTAACACCAATTCTTTATGGCTCTAAGCCATGTGAGATTAAATAGAAAACTATGTAACTTTCTTAAGTAACCTGTGTTGCCATGTGTGGCTGACATATATGTGATGTAACTCTATCTTTTAACAATAAATAGTGATTTTAGAGTTTTGTTTTAAGATTTCAACTTTCAACAGACTACCATATATAGAAAACTCTCCTTTGTAACCTATTATGAACAACTAAACATCCATCTTAGTTAAATCAAGTTAAAGCTTTTGGTTAAATCACCGTGACATTATGAGTTTCAATTCTAGACTTATCTTATTTGAGTTTTTTTTTCTATATGATTGTTTTATGATTATGTAATTAAATTGATTAAAGTGCTTGCTAGGTATTTAATCATCTTAATTTATTAATAACTAAGTATTCAAGTCTCGTGTAATTACTTGTCTAAACTCGCATATGGTAGTAGCTAGGGGTTAATGATTATTTTTCACATTTTTGCTTAATCTCTTAAAAAATATAGAACTATATTACATCTTTCTAACATCTAGAATGGTGGTTTAACTTCACATGTCTTTCTCTAATTAATATTTTTATAGTATTAAATCTATCTAGTGTCTAGTAGGTTGTTTAATAGTTAAGGAATTAATTAGGTATGACATATTTGGTTAATGATTCAGTAAGGAAAGACTAAGGATAATATACATATTTTTTCCCTATAATAAATATTAATGTTTAGGATAAGTTCATAATTAAATCAATAATCGGTAACCAAACCAAAAGCCAATATTGAAATTCAATCGTGGTTTCCTTAATATTGTTATTTTTAGTGATTTTAATTGCTCACAAACACATCAAACACAAAACCTCCCTTCACTACTTGTGCACTACAAGAACAATCAAGAGAAATCATTAATGAAACCTCCTTGTTATAGGTTTGACCCTTACTTTTTCTATTTACACCATAGTGGTTAGGTTCCATAAGGATAATATAAATATCGAATTTGTTACTAGTACAATATGCCATCAACAAGTGACAAACCTCTACATTAGGGAAGGTGATTTGCCAATCATTATTGTACATCACTCTATCGGGATGCTCTTGTAGATTACCTCTTTTCCATGTATAAGGAGGACCTTTGAAACCTAGATCAATCAATCTGCAATCCTAAAGATATTGCTCAAAACCCATACTATTATACTAATTAAAGTCTCTATCACCTGTTTTCTTCGTTTTATATAGAATAGCATTCAAATTTCCTCCCACTACCTAGGGCATATTGCTCTAACTTGTCAATTTTATTAACTCCTTCCACAATCTAAATTGAATGTGAACCTTCAAGTTTGCATACACCACCATGAAAAAAAAATCTCTATCCCTCTAATTAACCTTCATGTATGTAAATTGATTATGGTTCTATAGAATTTGGATTAAAAAAAAGCCCCTTCATTCCGGATACCAAGATGCCACCTAAAAATCTATTCACTTTAATATAATGAGAGTTAGAGAGGCTTAATCTCTTTGTGACTATCAAAGCATTAGCACCATTGATTCTTAGTGCCATAATAGCCATCACATTTGGTATATGTAACCTAGTTAACTCATAAAAAAAGACTCTAAACAACTTATGCTTAGCACCTTAGCAATTCTAAAATATAATACTTAATGGATTAATGAGTCAAAAAACTAGAAAATAGATTAAACCTGTAGGTGTTGACACATTTGTTTAGCCCATGCCTCTAACTCATACCCATAGAGTCTAATAACATGGTCTCCTCTACTGGATTCACTATCATAATTTACTTTAATTTAGAGTTTATATTTGAAGAAGAGATAGTATTCTTTTAAATTGGCTTACGAATTGAAATTACTAGCTAAAATTCTCCTTCATAGTTTTGATAGTCTCTTTTTTCTTCTTTCTTACTATTATCATTAAAGTTATGTATGGTGGGACATTGATTTCCACTTGTTGAAGATCACCTTATTTAGCTAGCTCGATCTCAAATGGCTTTCTTTGGTTATCTTTGTAAGTACTCATTGTGGAATCCTTATCAATTTCAACTTCTTCCTCCTCTTTTGAAACATCCTTCGTTTCATCCGGAATGACAACTCGTGTGGTTTTCATCTTCAATGGTAATAGGTATGTTTTAGGTCAAATTCAATTTCATAGTAAAGGTGAAATTTTCTTGGTTTGTTGTGGTTTCGGATACAAAAAGGGTAGATATGGATTATCTCGTTAGGTTTAGCTAGGCTAGGGGTTTCGATAATCTTATGGGCTATTATTTTTGATTGAGTGTTATCATTGGTAGAGATAGGCTTTCCAATTTGAAACTAGGCTTACCTTGAGTAGGTTGAAACTTGGTTAAAGGTTATAGAGTGATCTGTTTGGGCTAAGGAAGGTTCTAATTCTACAGGATTTAAAACCATAAAATAGGACCCATTACTCGGCTCACTTCGGGCTCCTATATTTTTCAAAAATGAAGGTGTATCATCATTTAATAATCTTTTTTTGTTCTTTGATGGAGCATGTATCTAGGGGCCATAGTTTCCATTTTTATCATAGCCCACTTGCCCACATGTGTAGCAAACTTATGGTAGCCCTTTATAGGTAACCATTTATGTCATCCCATCAATCCATATGGAACTTTTCACTCGGTGCTTCAATGTTGATGTCCATAACAACTCTTGGAAACTTAGCTCTTGAGTTAGTTTGCATAATATAGCCTATTTTTATGGTTTTCCTCAACATGTTTCTCATGGTTCTAAGAATACTAGGATGATACCAATCAAAAGAAAGATTAGGGAACCCGACCCATACAACTACTTTTAATTCTATAAGCTCTATAATAATGATCCTATGGTGGTGAGTCAAACAATGATCAAGGATAATCCAAGGCCCTTCCACCAAAGCATAGAGGTAGTCCTTTTTATAAGAGAATTGGACTTTGTAGAATTCATTTTCCATGTCTATTACCCAAAAAGCTTTAGTTGCATTCCATATTGTTCAAAGTCTAACACATAAGGCTTTGTACCCTACACTCCTCTTAAGGACCATTGCTACCATAGAAAGCTCTCATGGTTTTCGCAAACACTCTTTGAAAGCACTCGACAACTCAATAGACTAAACATGATCCTTCTCTATTATAGTGATGTCTCCTTCCTCCATTATAACCTCTATGATAGACATCCATTCAATACTTTTTAGCTTTTCAAATTTATACCATCAGTCATTGCATGCTTGAAATTTAAATATCCTATAGGCATTAATGTGTCATTACAACTTTCCAAGTTTAGATCTTTTCCTAGTATATGGACTTTTTTATGGTACACCCGGATCTAGGGTTTTTAGGATTTTTTAGACTCTTTAGTAGGGGGAGATAGTTAGGATTCTGTATAGAGCATATTTTTAATTAAAGAATTCTTCCATTGGCTTAATTATTAAGAGCTATTCTTTTTTTCACTATAAATACCAAACTCATATTAATTGTGAGGGTACTCCAATGATTCCATAGCTCCGTTAGCTAAACCTCTAAAATCTCCCTCTAAGGGCTCTCCAATCAAAACTAGACAATATATAAAGTTTCACTTCCTTGGATTTTGACCACCCACCTACCTACTATCTATCTATCACTCTAATTATCATCTTGTTAGCATGATTGACTTTCTCCCACGACTCTTACTACTTACTCTCATTCTACTTGGTTTACGGGCATTGCTTTTACAAGTCACAATATTAGCTCTTGATATTTGACTTGTTAGCTAACCTATCATTACCTTGTCCTTAAGAACACGAGTACAAGTAGATTATGGTGACTTTGCTTAGAGAGTTAATGATTGTGAAAGAATAATGACCCATTCTAAGACTATCAAAAAGACTACTAATCTTGCAATAAACACATCTATGGGCTATAATTGAGGGATCCTATCCGATCCTACTAGCAATGCTAATACACCATCTTCTTATATTGATGGTGACATCAATGGCTAAGTTCTTCAAGCATTGTAGTGGAAATTTACAAATAACTCTAGGAGGTGGCTTGCCTCTACCCACTACTTAAGTCCCTACCATGATTACCGTATAACTAGGTCTTTCGATTGTGATTATGTTTTGAATATTTTTCAATAGACCTAACTCAAATTGTAATAAGACTAGCAAAAAGTCTTCAAAGTTCTTTAAGATCTCGTTAGCAACATTATCCAATTACTTTCCATAGCTATAATGCCTCATACCATTCTTTCTTAAATAAGTGGTGTCTTAAACCATTAATGTTAAAGATAACTTAACACATTATGTTTAACCAAGTGATAATAAAAACATCCTACCACAAAACATCCACCATGAGACTATGCCTAACCACTAGACAACTCATGTTACCGATGCTTCTAGTTACCAACATCACTACCTCACTAAAAAAAAAAATTAAAAAAGATATTTTAGTGAAAGATAGTAAAATCCATTAGCGAGTTTGATCTCAAGCTCCTCTATCTAACCCATATGGCTATAAGACCTAACCAAAAATGTTATATGAGGCCTAATTTCAAAGTTTTTGATGGAAAACCAAATAATGTGAAGGAGCATCTCATGAACTTTATGGAGACCCTAGGCATGTACAGCCTAGATGATGAATTAAAGTTGAAACAATATTTTAAGTCTTTTATAAACTCGGTGTATGAATCTAGCCTCTAGCTTTGTGTAGATATAGACAAGTATGTGTAAGTTGTTTATTACGAAATTCTTCTTTATCTATAACGAGGTAACAATGTCCGAATTAGGGATAGGTTGCTAAAATTCAAGAGAGGGTTTGTTTATATAAATTGAATGATTTCAAGATTGTATCCTAGACATACAAAAGGGTTTTGATGAGAATGAAGTAATTAAACTACATTTCTAAGAAATGTATAAAAAAATGCTTTATCTACTAGGAAAACATAGGTCTAACCATGTTTTCCTACCTTAGTAAAAAGTGTTTGTTGGACTAGTAACTCCAAGTGTATTTTCAACATGAATAACTTAACCCCTATTATTAGTGGTATCAAGAGGGATGCTTTAGTGAAGTCATCTTACTAGACAAGTAACCTAATAAAAGAATAAGGGTAGCAGTTGTTATGCCAACACCTTAGGAAGTAAATCCATAACCCAATAAATAAACTTGTTGCACATTAAATAAATAAACAATAGATGAATAATATATAAAGTTAAGAATAAACCACTCACTATAAGACTTAAGTTTTTAGATGGAACTCAATCTCAACTATCAAATTTAAAATAATATCAAAGCCTTAAAGAGACATAGCATTTTAATAAAATCTCAAAAAAAAAAAAAAAAACTCAACGACTTAACAAATCCAAGAGTCTAAGTCATATGAGAGATTCTAAAAGATTGTAAGTGAAGAGGAGTATTAGTGAATATATCTCATATTAAAAAAATAAAAAATATAAACTAATATGAAAGATGTTAAATGAGTCATCTATCAAAAGGCTTAACTCTTTTGAATGAAAATCAATCTCAAATATCAAATTTAATATGGTATTAGAGCAAAAAAGAGATCCAATGGTCTAGTAAAGATTTTAGAACCCAAGGTATTTGACTTATTCTAAAAAATGAACTACAAGTGAGAGAATGTGTTAGAGAACCTACCTTTTATTGAATAAATAAACAATAGATGAGTAATATATAATATTGAGAATGGACCATCCATGATAAGATTTAAGTCTTTTGGATGGAACCGAATCTCAACTATCAAATTTAATATTATATCACGGCCTTAAAAAGCCTAATGGTCCAATAAAAATCCTAAAGTGTAAACCATTTGACATATGAATTACCCATTCTTAGTCTTATATATTATTCATCTATTAGTTATTTATTTCATATGAGATAGGTTCTCTATCACTCTCCCTCACATACACTCTTTTAAGGTCTATCAAGTGACTTGGATTTTAAGATCTTTGCTAAACCATTGAACCTCTTTGAGACTTTGATACCATATTAAATTTAATAGTTGAGCTTGATTTTTTTAAAAAAGCATTAAGTCTTGTGATGGATGGTCCATTTTTTATATTAATTTATATTTTTATATTTATTCAATTTAAGATATGTTTACTAACAATCCTCTCACATGCGATCTTTTAGAGTTTATCAAGTAGCTTAGGCTTTAGAATTTTTGTAGAACCATTAGGCCCATTTAAGGCTCCTATACCATATTAAATTTGATAGTTGAGATTATGTTCCATCTAAAACACTTAAGTCTTATAATGGCTCATTTTCAATTTTATATGTTACTTATCCGTTATTTATTCATTCAACGTGAGATAAGTTTTCTAATACTCCTCCTCTCTTATAGCTTATGTTTCGGGGTATATCAAGTAGCTTACATATAACACCTATAACCTAAGACCAACATAGGTTGAAAATATTATCATCGTTGACCTACATTCGAAGTGTAATGAATGTAAGCTAATAAGGTATTGTGTCTTTCCTATAGCTTGACTAGGTATGGATTATGCTATGGAAGCCTACTAAATAACCAATAAGTCTTAAATTTTAGTCCAAAATGCACTCGCTAAATTTTTTTTTTAAATATTTTATTTAAATAGTTTGGACCGAATTGATCGGATATGTGTCTATTGGTTTTGCCAAATTCTTTTTTAATAATTTTGTATAAATTTATTAAATTCATTTAGTCAATACCCATTATTTGTTGATTTAATCATTTATTACTACCATTTTCTTATTATTTTTATGGCCACTTAATCGTTCGGTTTATCATCAATGTTGACAAGCAAATAATTAATTAAAAGAAACTACTACTACTACTACGCATCACTATACTATTACAATATTATCAGCATGTCCAAATTTTGGTTAATATACAACCTATCCATATTTTACCACCTATTACAAAAGTCGTTTATTTATTTATGAACTATTTCTCATCACTAACTAACCATTTACTTATTCATAACTTTTAGTATCATATAGAACAAGGAAGCCATATCCAAGTATGTATACTAAAATATCAAGTACCGAGTAGAAAAATGGTGTGAAGGAGGTACAATTTACACTTGCAAGTGAGATATATGCGATGAACTAACTGGGATGATCCTTCAATTACGACCTCAAATAGAAACATTGCCATTAGTCTTTACCTTTGGTTCCTATATGATAAGAACTAAATGAACAATTGCTCGGTAAGTTAATCATGCATGCCATGTATGAATGCAAGTGAAATGCGGATGAAAAATTATTGTCATGTTTATTCCGAAATCCTTATTCCACGCTAGGAAATTCTTTTCCATAACCATTCCGAAAAATCTTTTCTTTGCTTAGACATACCTTTCCAACCGTCTAAATATACACGTCCGTACATGCTCGACCCTCTTTTCCCGAGCATTTCTCCTATAGGGCAATTATCAATTCCCTCACAATCAAGGCCATTAACGGTTCCCGACAAGAAAAATCAATGATAGCTCCCACTATTTCTTTCAAGTTCTATAACCTTCAATATAGTACTTGAGAAAAATTTTCAAATTTGTTTTCTTAGTGGGTTAGGATCCCATTCTCTCACATGCATTAGCGTTGAGTTATCTCAACAAGCCATACATGCGGGATTAGGTAGGTAACTCTTTACCAATTACATCTAATGTAATTTCTAATTCTATTGGTATGAGAACTCCTTGTCTTTATCACATCTTATGTGAATACCAATCCTTACTTACAAGTTTATTGAACCTTGAGTTATCTTAACAAACCCAACAACTCATTTAAGTTAGACCCAACATTCGGGGTCATCGCATGGCCCATGATTTGTTTCCCTCAAGGAAGAAGTGACCTTGAGTTATCTCAACAACCCAACAACGACCAAGAGAGTTATCACCTCATAACATTATAAAGCATTTAACTTAATGTTTTGTTTGAAGGATTTAATAAGGTTGGTCTCATCCTAGCATGCATAGTAAACAATAATCACATTATTCTTAATCATGCATACTAACATTCATCATATTCATACATCTCATGCATGACTTAAGAACTAGTGAATGATGATGGATTTTTAGTACTAGTCCCTCGAGCCACAAGGCAACTAGTGGGTCAATTCTTAGGTCAAAAATTATTACAAATTTCTCATGAATGTCTTCATTCCTTGGTGTCTTCTCCTTGTATCTATTTTAATTCCTATCTTCTACTTTTACATTTATTCAAAATAAGAAACCTTGAGTTACATTCAAGAGAAGTGAGATGAGAAAGGAAATACAATAGAGTAATAGAGAAGGCGGGACATGCAGCTCTTATTTATCCAAAAAAATATCAAGCATTCATAAAACTAGGTCGACTCATCCATACCATTCACTTATGCTTTCAATCACATTGATACATGGCATGCTCATAAAACAATTTCAATCTTAAAATGATTACAAATTTATAGTTTGGTCATTTTATAAATTTATCAAAATTTCTCTAAATTTCAATTTTAAAACTTTTGGGCTTGGGCCCACTTTGGGCTCATAGGCTTTTGGACCTCGAGGGTTCACGGGTTTTGAAGCCCAAACCCTTGGGTTCGTATGCATTCGCTTGTGATGCTTGGCAAGCTTGAACGCTATCGCTCGCTTAGCGCGCCGCTCGTGGCTTGCCTAGCACACACTTGGCAAGCAAGTAGCTTACCCGGCGCACGCCATGCTAGCTAGCGGCACGCTCGCTAGTAGTAGGTATGCCACGGATGCGAGGTTGACATCCAACGTCGACCTCACTTACTACTACCGATTTTGACCTAAAATTTTAGTTTTATACTAATACAAAATACCAAAACACAAGATTTATAATCAAGCATAGCTAAATCATCCGAGTTAATCATAATTAACCAATCATATAATCAAAGATTCAACGGAGGCTCTTATACTAATTGAAGGATCATACATCCTATGGAGGTACGGAATAAATAAAAAAATCTCCTTCATCTCAAGACCCAAGATCATGTCATTGAATATATTAATCATACATACATGAATAATAAGATAAAAGTAAAGGATTACCTTTTGTAGCTCGGATCTAAATTTCTTTTCTCCGATTAGTTATCGAAGTGTCTAGCTTCTATTGATGATCCACGCAGCCAAAATATCCGCAAATAAGCACTCAAAATTGATGGGGTGCTAGCTCCACCTTTTCCGATTAAGTATTTCATCTAGAAATGAATCTTGGCCAATTTTGTGATAACTTTAAATTTTATTATTTTAATTTGATGTGCACTTTAGTTGTTTAATTTTGCTTTGAATTCCCTCATTCTTGACTAGATTTGAAGGATTCTTACAACGAATAGGTGAGCTTTAATATGTTAAGGGAAGAAACGAAAGACACACAAGAGTAGTAGGTTCTTACACAATGTGTGCAAGTAAAAAGCACACTCGTGTGAGTGTGTTTGGTTAGAAGGTCAAATAAAAAAGAGAGATGCAACATGGGTAATAGGTTCTTACACGGTTTATATAGGTAAAAAGCACATTCGTGTGTGTGTGTGTGTGTTGATCGAAAGTTCAAATAAAAAAAGGAGATGCAACACAAGCAATGCCTTGACACATGGTTTACACACCAATGACAATACACCCGTATGTCTTTTACCCACCACTTTAGCTTCTAAGGAAATACGAGAGAAACAAGTAGTAGGTATCCTCTTAGTTGAAGGATCATACATCATATGGAGGTACGAAATAAATAAATAAATAAAATTTCTCCATCTAAGGGCCCAATATCACGTCGTTGAATCTACTAATCATACATACATGAATAATAAGATAAAAGTAAAGGATTATTTCTTGTAGCGCGGATCTAAATTTCTTTTCTTTCATTAGCCTTTCAAGTGTCCGGCCTTTATTGATGATCCACACGACTCAAATATCCACAAAGAAACATTCAAAATTGATGGGGTGTAGCTCCACCTTTTCCGATTAAGTATTTCTTCTAGAAATCAATCCCGAGCAACTTTGTGAAAACTTTAAAGGAGAGGGTATGAGAATTTCTTGCTAGGGTTTTAGGAGAAAACTATTTCCTCTCATTTTTCTCTCTTGGTCGTGTGCCTTTTTTTTTTTTAGAGGCTGGCCGAATTTTTTTTCCTATCTTTTTTTTTTTGGCAAAAATTCTCTATTATTATCTCTCCCTTCTTTTGCTGCCCCTCTCCTCCTATTTATAGGGGAGAGTTTCCTTATCCTCCAAGGAAAGGAAAGTGGCGGTCTTATCCTCTAAGGATGAAGACTTATTTTATATGTGGACTACTTAATGTTTATCTTCAAAACATTCATCCTTATCCAATAAGGTTAATGTTTATCCTCCCATCAAAATTATCTTAAGGCTTTTAATTAAACCTAACGGGCCAAAAATATTTTAGCCCAATTAATATATCCGGACTATCCAAATAAATATTCTTAGATTATTTTGGCAAGGTCCACATTAGGCAATAATTTTTCAAAATACCCTTTAATTTAAATTAGGAAACTCCTTTCTTTTTAGGTTCTTTATTTCCAAATTTGAAACTAACTTCCAAATTAGGAAATTGATTTCTAAAATAGGAAACTTTCATTTTAGGAAACTTTCAATTTTTTGAAACTTTTCATTTTTCATTTTTCATTTTAGGAAACTTTCCATTTTGGAAACTCTTTCCAAAATAGGAAACTTTTGTAACCGAAAAATTTTTCCAATATCTTTGCTTCTCATTTACAATGTGAATACTTGAACTTATGCGTGTGACTCAATAGGCTCCTAGATATGTTGGCAATGTATTAAGAATAAAAGACTCCTCTTTTATCTCTTGATACGTAAATCAAGATTGGCCTCTAGCAAGGCATCATGACTACCCAATTCTCTAGGAGGATTAATTAATCCATTATTACCTTTCATGAGCATGGTTACCATACAATTCAATCCTCATGTCCACTTATCACAATGTGATATCAAACTTGGTTATTAGTCTAGTTTGATTATGATCACACAAGTTTTCTTCGATTCCTAAATGTCTTAGCTGCGAGAGTAAACCAACTATGCTCTATTGGTATACTCCTACTGTGGCCATAGATTTTTTGAGCGGACATTTATCGAAGTGTAGTGTGATAACTCCTTTAGCATACGAGGAATGACATGTCCTACATTAGTGATACACTTATCTCCATTGGATTCCTAGTGCACCCAATGAATCACCCCGTGTAACCTATTAATGGATCGATCAAAATGAGTGTCAAAGTCCATAAGTCCTCCAATAAGATAACCGTGATGACTTCAAGTCTAAGGACCATTTGTACCCATCTCATATGAGATTCCTATACACTAAAACCAAATGGGTTTTCATGGCGACTCAAGTCTAGTGATATGTTCTCTAACATAAATCACCTAAGTGCTTGCTTTGGCATCACCATGCCAAAATGTTTGAGATCTCCTACTCGCTATCATAGAGCATGAGCATAGCACTCACAAGTCTATCCGTATATTATCAATATCCATTCTTGATGATGCTACGACTTGGGATATTTAATGATATCATTTATATGCATTAGTGTTTGTCTCACATCTTTCGATCAATCACTATTGCAAATGTATATCATAAGGACTTCTATCTAATTTTACTAAATTTATCAATATGTAAACATAAGAATTAATAGAATGACTTCTTTATTATTATTAAAATAAATGATGCAATAACATATTAACATAAGCTCATTAAAAAATGGTTGGATCTTAGGCACTAACACTAACACAAACCCCAATAAACACAACCATAGCCACACCCACGAGACCCTTGTCTCTCCATTAATGATCAAAGTCACCATCTTTAGCTTCACCATGATACAAGACAAAAAATCTTACTAGCCATCCTCACTCCTACAAAACTTAACGATAGCAGTGGTAGTAGCCCCCATTATCCCTCCCTATTACCATAGCCACAGTCATAACCACACTCTCACCTTCAACAAGCTAGCCTCACTTAATCGTGATACCTTATTCCCAAAACCAGTTTCATCCTCCTAACCAAAAAAAAAAAAAAATACCCATGCCAACCTAGTTAGCTCATCCAACCATTCCCCCACAATCATAACGGTTGTTCTAGCCATCAAGCCATTCTCACTATCAAAACGCAAACACCTAGCCAATAGATTACCCTTCACCAAGAAACACAAACACCAAATCCATCTTCCTTCACTAGGTCCTCCAATTGCCATTGAAATTCGTCATTTTCTTCTCCACATAAACACTCACCTAAACACCCTACCAAAATCAAGCCATGAAATCGCCACCTCTCTACGAGACCAACTCACAACAAATGGTACGCATACCTTCTAAAAACCATCATCCTCCACACCCAAATACCCAATAAACCAGCACTAAAGCTACCCCCAAGACCATGGAACGAGAGATTTAACCAAGAAACATGAATCCTTAAAGGCAATGAACTCAAGATCCCTATTTCGGATAACAACATCAAAGCAATCATCATGGGTTGAAAGAGAGAAATGGAGAAGAGCCTGCAGGATCTCGATCGATTTCACAAAATGGGAGGCTGAGAAAGAAGAGAAATTAGGGAGGTATAAATCTTTTGTTTTTTGATCAATTAAGGGTTGGTTGGGAGAAAAAGTTACTAGGAAATGATTTTTTTTTTCTTTGCTAAAAAAAATGAAGAAGTCCAGCTCGTGAGAGAGGGTTAAACTTGTTTAGCCTCGCATGTCCAAAGGCTAAGTCGAAGCCCCTAAAAAATGGAAAGAAGGCTTGTCCAATAGGGCAGCCCAACAACCTACTCCAATGAGCCCATGGCCCATAAAAGAAAAAGCCAATTATTTTGTAGTTTTACTTGTATTTATTTATTTTATTTTAGATAATTTGTCTTCAATGTTTTACATAGGCATGCTTTTTTTTTTTAGATTTTAATATTTTAGCTTCCTTGAAATTGCATTTAGTTAATTTTAACTAATTTTATTTTCACAATTAGGTTAGATAAATAAAAAATAGGTGAATGAATTGTCGAGTCGCCTAATTTTTAGGGGTCGATGACGATTCTCTATCAACAAAAAATAAAAAATGTAAAATACATATATTTTTAACTTTGTTGTTAATTAGTTTAGATAATCCAATAATAGATGAATTGTCGAGTGTCCTAATTGTTAGGCACTAATGACAATTCTCCATCGATAAAGAAATAAAAATATATATATATATATATATATATGATAGAAAAAAAGAGAGAGAAAGATTAATAGTTAACTCTTTAGGATTTTGTTTTAAAATTAGTTTAGTAGATAATAGGTAGGTGAACTGTTAAGTCTCCTAAATTTTTAAGGATCGATGATGATTTCTCATGAAATGTCAATAATGAGACTAATAGTTAATAAAAAGGTGAACTATCAAGTCTCCTAAATTCTTAAGGACTAACGACGATTTTCCTTTGAAATGTCAATAATTAGTTTAGGTAATCTAAAGATAGGGAAATTGTCGAGTCTCCTAAATTTTAGAGACTGATGATGGTTTTCCTTGAAATATCTATATTTTGTTAATGGTTAATAAATCTATGAATTGTCGAGTCTCCTAAATTCTTAGGGACCGATGACGATTTCCCATCGAATGATAGGTTACTAACATTTAAATTTGCTCAAAAAATTAGAGTTCAAATCGAAAACAACTTGGCACAAATAAAAAATTTAGGAAGATGAATTTAAAACTAAACTAGATGTAGTACCTTTCTCGGGAAATGGCATTTTTGAGTGATCGTTGTCTTCCCAAAACGTAACAAACTCCTTACTTTAAAATCTCTCGCATTAGTGCTATTTTAGGTTCCTAGTTCCTTTAATACTACGTGGTGACTCCAAACATAATAATAACTCGCATCCTCAAAAATTTCTACAAATACGATGCATTTCTCTAAAAACCTTTGAAAACCAAAAACTTTTTAAGAGTCCCGTCCAACGTCGTGTAGCAACAAAATGGCGACTCCATCGGGAAATTAGAGTTAGGCCATAGGTTTAGTCTATTTAAGTTTATCTCCTGTGTTTATTTTTCCCAATTATTTTTAAAGCAATTTATTTTTTTTATTTAATTTTGAGTTATTTATTTCTCGTAAATATTTTAAATCTTTTAATTTTAAGCAATTTATTTTTTCTTGTATTCATGTGCATATTTAATCTTGAACTAGATGGGATGCTTATCTTGAATTGTTGGACACCACAATGTAACGTACAAAAGCTCTAGACCCGAGCTAAACCTTGTTATGATTAGATAGAGAGATTCGGAGGTAAGTATGACAAAAGTCCACTAATGCTCTTTCGAACTCTTATTTAGATCGGAACTCACCCTATGCTTAGGAAATGGTGGAATAACCTTCCCCTACCTCCTTGTGCATAAGGTTAAGAGGCTAAATTGCCCCAATGATAATTTAGACAATTTAGAAACTTGAAAAGACTACAAGATTAGAGAAGCTTTACCTAAACCCATAGAAAAGCTATATCTTATCTACTACGAATCATTTTCAAAACATGTTTGTTGTAACCCTTATTTTTGTAGGATATCATCAAACAAATTATGACGAGAGAATGCTATTGAGAATTTTAAGGCCGAATCGGAATGTACCTAGTTTGATAAGGAAGGATGTCTACCTCGGATCTTATTCAAAAAAAAAAAACAAAAAAACAAAAAAAAGGGATCCTCAAACAACAAGTACTTCATTGAAGATGAGCTTATAATAAGATTCAATATTCATATAGCTCTTACTCGCCTCAAGCACGGGTCCGAAATTGTAAAGGGTAAAATAGGGTTCTGTTTGTATTGTAAATGTTATAAACTTTGTAATGTAAGTCGTTGTTATTAGTAATTGCTAAAAATAACTACACTTTCTTTTCATAGAAAATGATTTTAAGTCATATTCAAAACGTATTGCATTCCAAATTTCAAAGTCTTCCGTATATGCTTGTCACAAGATGAGCTCATCACTCGAGGTCTCAAGAAAAAAATCAAAAAATCAAAAAAAAATCTCAAAGATGAATCTGAAATTTCAAAGACAAATTTGATCCGAGGTAGACATGTTTTCCAAATCGGCCAAATATCTATGGGATGAAAATCGATCGAGTCCATCTTTGATAAAAACTCGTCATGATTTAAAGTTCTACAACATCAAAGTAAAATATCCAACTTGGTTCACATCATGCTTGTACATACCGTATATTTATTATACATATCCATTTTAAGTTTGTTTACAAGATCCGAAATATAGGCTACCCCACCAAAACTCGACTCCTCTCTCGAACATGTTACACTTAACTCCGATGAGCTTAAATGAAAATTGAAGAGAGAGCACGGTTGAGACATGCTCACTAATAATGAAATTTGATCACATAAAGAGGAAAATTGCTTTTTTATCCATATTTTTGAAAAAACGCATTGCTCACATTTCTAAGTGGTAAGAGCTCATCAAGCCAAGGCCAAGCTTAGGTTTGAATTATCGTTTGCCCTTCCAATGCCAACTGACAGTCTTGAGCCTTCTACTATTCCACTCGCTAATTTGGAGTAACCATATTCTCTATTGAAACATCATTCCCTACTAGGCCATTCTCACATAGAATAGGCCTATAGGTTCCATCAATACAAGGTACACCTAGTCTATGCATCACTCGTTGAACAAGTCCATAGGATTAAGGCAACTCGAAAAGCCTAGTTCAAAAAAGTTGTTTACAACGGAAGAATGCCTCAAGACCACTAAAGGCATCGATATACAAGGGTCGGTGTGAGTTGTTAGAATGGACATAATGTCAAATATGGCAATTCCTATGAAACCTCGAGTTTTTGAATTTTCCAAGTATGTGGGCCCTCTATGGATACGGTAGCAAGATTGCCAAAGTTATGAGAATTTGTTGACATGATTTTTTTGTAAGAGTTCAAGTAGATGTGCTTTAAGCTAATGTATTATATTGGTGGTGCCAAGATCGGAAAATAAAGAGATCAAGTTGATGCTTTCGTTCGATAAGAAAAATTTGATAGAATGTTGCTTCAAAGCGAGTAAAACCTAAAATCGAAAAGGTTTCTAATGGTTTTGAGAAGAGAAGAAGTAAAGAAATCAAGGGAAGGAATGGTGAAATATACCGAGTCGGGACTAAATCCTCTCGGTCCCGAAATCAAGAAGCAATCAAGAAAGATATGGAAACTATAAAAATCCCATTAAACAATCACAACCCGAAATCTACCCAATGTACCTCCAACCTAACAACCACAATAGCTAACATTTTGCCAAAACTAAATACAACCATATCCAAAAACCCAAACACATGACCATATCCTAAAAAAAAAACTAAAACCAAACACAACCATATCTAAAAACCCAAACCCACTAGACATGTCCACCAAATCGGTAAAACCGATCCTATTTGCCCCATCAAGCTCACAAAACATTCGAGTCTCTAGTAAGAATCAAGCAAATCAACACGTCCTAACATAACCCGATGAAAACCCTTATTCCTTGGTACAAATTAGATAAGGGATGTGAATGATAGTCATGTGCACCCCGGTATAACATCGATGATTATCTTACTTCTAAGAAGAAACTGTTGAATATGATTAAGCAAGATGGGATCGGTTTTGGCAACGATCGATTGTCCTACTTTTAAGAAGAAGTTATTGGGTCCGATCAAGAAAGGTTGGATCAATATTAATAGCGGTCCGAATGCTCTCAATATGAATGTCAACCTACTCCCAAACCATCCGATCGTCCACCCACGAGATGGAAATACTAAGTGAATTCAAAAGTTTTCATGCATGCTTATAATTTGCAATTATGGTCTCATTAATTTTGTCAAATTTTGAACTCCACTTCAAAAAGAAAAAAAAACACATTTCAGCTATGTATTAATGGAGTCATGTCTTTAAATGAAGGAGTCACTCCGATTCACTTTATATAAATTTCATATTGTTTGATCCGAAATCAAGAGATGTTTATTCGAAAGTATCATTTGGCATCCCAATTTTTCTCCATCAAGAAAATATAATGGCAAAGTCATTCAAAAACATTAAAAAAATTAAGCAAATTTCAAAACATGATAAACGAGATGCTAGAGATAATTCTTCAATTCAGTGAACAAAAAAAAAAAATTCTTTCTTAATAGAAAGTAATGAGGACAATACCCCATTTTATTAAAACCAAAAAACATAAAAAAAAAAAGAACAAAAATAAAACCAAAAACATCAT